AAATAAATCTATGGGAAATTTACCAAACTTACTTTGACATAATTTACTTAAAAAAAAGATCAAAGTTTAGTTAGTCTCAAAATGGTCAGCAATATTTTTTGATTTACTGGATCTGTCATTTTATTCATTTGATTGTTGCGATTGTGAATAAAAATTTCGTATTAAAATAAATGAAATAATAAAAACTTTTCCTTTTTAACAATAAATTATTGTTTATCTATTTTCTACATTTTTTTGATATGAAGTAATTTTTTTGAGATTTTTTGAAGAATTAATTCTTTGAAATGATCGTTTAAATTATAGCAAATATTTGGATAAAAATTATAATTGAAAATTTTGTTATCTTTTCAAATAAAATAATAAAATATGTTTGCTTTAAATTATATATTAATTATAGAATGATTGATTAATTATGATATTTGATTATTCGTCAAATTAATACGTGAATACGTGAAAAGATAAATTAAAGCAAATATCGGCATAACTTTTCCTTCTCTCTCTCTCTCTCTTTCTCTGCTCCTATATATGTGTATTTTTCTATCGATTGATAAGATCATATGATAACTTTCTTAGCATTTTGTATATTTTGATATCAAAATTACAAATGATAATTTTTAAATGATTTTAAATGAATAGATTTAACCAATAGTGCTGAACATTATAATAACATTCTGTTGAATAGTCTCATACATTGATCGTTGATAGATTTATGCAGTAATTTAAGTTAAGCTAATGCTAAGGTTATTAAATATGACAGGTCAATGTTAAGCAAATGTTAGTAAAACTAATCAATACTAAAGATTTGTTGAGTTTATCAAATTATCAATTTGAAATATATAGAATTTACGAAGTTTAAATTGTAGTTTTGATGATGCAAATTGATTTTCTCCTACGAGATGTACTTATCATTCTTCGATCGCCGATTATTCCAGAGCTGATTTATTCTACATCAAGTTATCTGCAATAATCAACTTATCATACGATCATAGATCATTCCACTACTAATCCATCAATAAGATGGAGAAATAGTAATGAAATGATCAATGGTCAATTTTTTAATCAATCTCAGAAAGATCGAAATGGACGAAAATGATAATTCGATTCCGATAGCTGTTATGCATTACTTAAATAATTCAAATGTTTAATTTGTATATGTTATATTTTATAATGATTAAGTTATATAGTTCGAATTAAATAATTCACAATTTATGATTTTAATTTTGGATAATTAAAAATAGGTAATTTGCAATTTAAAAGAATTAAGTTTCTAATAAAAAGTTAAATTTGAATTATATAACTTAATCATATATATAAAAAAATTTTTTTCAGATTGAATTAAAAGTAAATTTTATATTTTTCTTTCTTTCAAACTATATCTAAATAATACGTGAAACTTCAACTCATTTTTCACGCGTATTCACGTACACGTGTACACGCGTGTACACAATACACGCTCGTATACGCACAATACACATGCACATAGATATTTACATATGTCTAAGTTAAATGAAAATTTCTGAAATTTATAATAACAAATAATTTATTACATACTTTCATGCATGTGTGTATGTGTGTATGTGTGTATGTATGTATGTGTGCGTGTGTATATGTGCATATATACTGTAGATATATGTGTTTAGATAAAGGCATATGTAATGGCGCGAGAATTCGAAATCAGAGATCAAACAAAACCCGGAGATGTGCGTGTATGTGTGTATATGTATGTGTTATGCGTTTGTATATATATGTGTATATGTATGTGTGTGTGTGTGTATGTATTATATTATAATCTACCTCTGATCGGTGGTAATATTTATCGGTGTTAACATATTATCTCATTTATTCATTCATTTACTCAATTCAATGTTTACTTACGTGACTTACGTATTTTAATTTTTCTTTTAAAACAACATATGCCATTTTTTTTGTTCGTTAATTATACAATTTTTAATGAAATATATTATAATATGATTTAGGCATGGAAAGAAATTTATTGAAAATCAAATTAATTACATTTTGTTAAGAATTTCAATCATTAAGTTTCACTTGTTGATAAGTTTGAATAAATTCGATCCATTGAAATCACTGATTTTATTATTTGATTGAAATACTAGTTGTTGTAAATTTCAACAGTAATGAATTGCGACAAGTAATTCTCATGTCTAGTATCTCATATCTGGATTCTAAGCTGGTATAGGTTGATAGAGAAGATGTATACACGCTTGTTTCATAAGAAACTAATCCTATAGGCCGGATATCAACCGGAAAAGCATTTGGAACAAGTGTAATATCAGGCATGTACAAGCTCTATTTGGCATAAATACAAATATTCATTGCGGAAAATTGCCAGTTTGAACTGCTACATTTGACTGCTATCAGTCTGTGTCTGTCTATCTGTTTCCACATTCATCTTACCGTTATTCAACTAACAAAATTCTATTTATCATCGAGAATTTTTTGAAACACATTGTGTAGTTTACTTTTAAACATACATAGTTTGTTTCCGGTTTTTTAATCAATTTCCGGAAAATTAGAAGGTATAATTGATTAGAGAAAAATTTCTCCTCTTGTTCCCTAAAATTATAGCGTTAATTTATTGTCATCTAAATATTTGTTTATAGAATTCTGTTAACAATTTCATTATTATATTTCGAATTCAATTAATCAGTTTGCTGTTTCATTATTACGTAGCTTAGTGAACTAAACGTTTGACATTAATTTGATGAAACTTATGACCAAAGTTAAAAGGTTAAAAGGCTTTCAACTTATTCTGCGTATCTATTCAAAACGTATTGTATGTCTTTATTGAAATGCTGTCACTTATTAAATCGAATGAAATGTATCACGTAAAACGTGTTAAAACGAAACGTGTTCTATGTCTTTATTGAAATGCTGTCACTTATTACATCGAATGAAATGTATCACGTAAAATATCATTTGAGACGTAATTATGATCGAAATGTAAACGTAATTTATCAAAATCGCGTAAAATATTTCGCATGAAGTCTACTTTAAATCATTATTCAGGCTTTCCTTCCATGCGCAATTTAGCATTTTGCAATAAATTCAATAAATTAGATTTGAAATAATCGACAAAGTTTATTATCGAAAATTTCAAAATGATTTTTAAAAAAAAATATATATTTTGTATTTTCAGTGGTGCTAACCAATAGCCACCAGCTAGGCAGGGATTTTCTCTTCGCCTGATACGAAGAAGAGAGAAAGGAAGGAGAAGAAAAAGAAAGCTCACATTTACTAATAGTATTTTTATTTTATTTGTAAATAATTGTACATCATATTCGAGCACATTATATATATAGTACGAAGTTTCAATATCAACAATAACAACCAAAGAAGAAGCAAATTTAGCAAACTCTGTCCAGAAATGTCAACTCTCCATAATATCAGTCATCCGGAGTATGTATTTCATTTAAATCTATTTCCTGTTCAAATTTCTTATCATATTTGATTTAATATAAGTCATGAATTGCGCATAGGATCTTTGAAAATTTTATTTATACTATTTATGATCTATCTGATTTACAATTGATTTCATTTGCAAAACCTTCAACATCTTTTAACTTATATTAAATTTCATTGATCCTATCAAATACACGAATCGTATCTCACTTAGAATGTCTTTAATTTTATTGGACAATAAGTTCTACACAAAAATGATCTTAGCTATGTTCACTGTGCCATTTCTTGCTAGCTTTTATATATGGATTTCGTATTTTGATTATTATCTAGGAAATTTATACCAATTTCTGAGGTTAAGAAAAAATTTTCCTTTTGATAAATTTATGCTTCAAAGTGATATCTAATAAATTGAAGCAGTATCTATCCGTTATCACAAAATGATCAATATATTTTCTCTATATTTTCATTTGATCCATTTCTTTGCAAATTAATAGTATATCGCTTTTTGTTTAAAATGGCTAGAGAGGGAGTAAATTCTTCAATTTAGTATTTCAACTTTCAATACTTTTTGTTTCTATTTAATTTGCAATTTTTCGAAGCTTTTATAATATTCTCTTTTAGGATAGCCGCTAGTTCACAAGCATATTTGCGTCCACCATCATCTCTAAGTTTACCGTCGAATAGTGGTGATTCCGGTTTCTTGCCATCAAGATATGGTAGCGCAAGTGCTTCAACAACCAATAGCCAGGGTGGAATAAAGTAAATGATATCTATATCTATATATATATATACTATTATATAATCCAATTTTTTTATTCAAGTATAGATTTACATTTCATCATATGTCTCATTATTTTGCCGAATAAAAAATTGTTTCAGTGGCAATAAATTAGAAATTCATATAACTGATTTTTCTTTTTCAATTTGTTTTTCATAATATTATTTTTGTAATATGGATTGTTCAAATTGATCGATTATATGTGCTTCATATCAATTTTAGTTCTACTTCCGGTAACACATCCATTGGCTCTTCACCAATACCAACTGAGCAGGATATTGACCAAGTATTACGTAAAGCAATCGAACTGTTAACACTAAGAAACGAAGCGCTTAAGTAATTGTTTACTTTTATATGATAAGCAGTTTTTTTTTAATTAATATATATTTAAATGCTTTTTATGAGAAGTAATCGAAATTATCGATATCAGTTACGCATTACTTTTTGATGAAGTTTGTTGGACAATAAAATTTGCCAACTTTAAATACAAATATATTTTTTTAATATAAATTTTTAAATTTCTCACCTACCGAAAATGCTACCGGTTTCACTAACTGATAAATCCGTTATGTTTTACAGATTAACATTCATAAAAACAAAGAAATCGGATTGTTTATACGAACAAAATTAGATTGAGAACTGATAGCAATTATTTAGACTACAATAGACTTAGCATTAGGCTGTTTGGCATATAATTGCAAGATGATAGCATACTGACAATTTAAATAGTGATAACAGGAAACGAATGAAAAAGTGTGAATGTTCGGTTTTCCTGCTAAGATTTTTTGAGTGTGAAAAAAAAGGATTGAATAAATGAAATGCGATGATAAATAAATGAACATTATGAATTTAAAAAAAGAATTGAAAGACATATACGAATTGGAGAAGGGAAAGGTTGATTGATTTATAGATTAGTTAATCGACTGGTATTCAAAATACAATTTATTGTTTTTCAGCTGATTGCAGGGCTTTTCCTCATTATTCTTTTTTGAATATAATTGTTTCAATTATTTTATCATTAACGAAAAATTCGAATGAATGAAGCAGTTTTCCTCTTTCCCATTGTGGACCATTCATATCCTACCGCAATCGTCGCTAGTCTTCCTGAAATTCAGAAATAGCAACTTCTCAATATAACTTTAAATTAACCGCCCATTTCTAATCTTTATCAGAGATTTTTTTGTTTTCTCTCTCTCTGCTTCTCTTCAGTACAATATAAATCTTTAGAATGGTAGACATGAATCGGAATTTTTCATATTAAGGAAATGGGAATTTTTTCCGGATGAGATATCAATACAACTTTAATGGCGTCATAAATTGCAGTATATGTTCAAGCAACTTTAGTATTAATAATTTGGTAAAAATAAAACAAATAGCAAAATAGTAGTAGTTGGTTGGTAGCATTCTTCCACATGTCACTATACATTTTCTATGCCATACTGTTTGTTACACTCACGTAATTCCCTTTCTTCAATGAAATTTTTGTATTTTGATGACTTTTTTGCATGTCCAGAAAAAATCTTTAAACAACAAGTTTTCTTAAAATGTTACTGTTTTTTCTTATTCCTTTCGATTATAGACATACTGGTGTTTCATCACGGTTTGCCGATGCTCGATATTTTAATAGTGTTTCCGGTTTTTACGATTTCAGTGCGATAAATTCTGCAGCAAATGATGTTGCATCATACGAGAAGTTAGAACTGCCGTCATTTTTCTTTTTCTTTATGTTTTTTTTTTCGGGAGTGCGTTTTAATGAGACATAAATATTGTGAATGAATATTATAAAAACTTTCACCTTTTATTCAAGCATAGGATAAGTTCTAGACGGAGAGGGAAGAATTTGTTGCACTTTATTATTTTAGCACCATGGAACCGTTTTGATATATCCATTTGGGATTGAAAAGCAAAAATGGAATTTTTAGCCTATAATTAAATGCCTTGTGTTTTACGACACTTCCACACGATTTAGTGTCGGAACGATAAGTATTCTAATTTTTCTTCTATTCAGACAGCAAGCGAATCATCTACGATCGAGACGTTTGCCACCTCTTGCGCGTAAATCACCAAAACCGGATAGTTATAAAACGGTAAATTTTTTCCTTCCATTTGTGGCAAAAATTTTCTCATTGTGGTATAATGTGAGAAATAAATAGGTTACTTCCCGCTAAGAAAAATTAAGGACAAGGAGATAAGTGGGTTATTTCTTGAAAAGAAAGGAAAAAAAATTATGAACAATAAGGTTATTTAATTAAAAATTAGTGTAATGATTATTTGTTGATCGGAATTGGAACAATAATTCACTTACTTTTGCATTAACCTGATAATATGCAGAAGTTAAAGCATAATTATTTTTAATGCTATAAATAAAGTAATAAAACACTAACTGATTTATCGTTCTTATTATGATAATTTTATAGCGTTTGTTCTTTTTCTTATGTTTTAATATTAATTGACGAACTATACTTTATCAGTTATTCATATTTGTGCCATTTTCTTGCTATTTCATGCTTTTTTCTCTAATTGAAGGTGATGTGCCAAGCTTGGCTTGAAAGTGGAATATGTAGTTTCGCGGAGAATTGTCGTTTCGCTCATGGTGAAGAAGAATTGCGTCCTTGCAAGTATGTATTTGCTTTAATTCACTATTGTTACTAATATTAATATTTAATTAGTATTAGTATTAGTATATAATTAATAATTAGTATATAATACATTCTTCCATGTTCTAAAAAATATTCTACAGATTACCAACGAAAAATCCTAAATACAAAACAAAATTGTGCGACAAATACACAATGGCGGGACTTTGTCCATATGGTGATCGTTGTTTATTCATTCATCCAGAAGCGTCAAATGCTTCAAATCCATATATACGCCCTGATCGGGTATTGTTTCCATGTTTGTTATATAAATTTTTAACTTTGAAAATATTTACAAGGACGTAGATGATTTTTTCTAACTGATTATTTGTAATTATACTTAGCTTAATGATTTAAATTACAGTGTTAGTTAGATTAAATTCAATTTCAGTATTTGAAAATGCAACGCGAACGTGCTCTTCTGGCATCTGTCAACAGTGTTGATTCAGAAGCTCCCCATGTATCATTGTCGAATCGTGCGACAAATCATCCACCGCCATCTTGGCCACTTGAGTCACCTGCATTTTTTTCTGCTCATCGTGATCTGGATCAGCTACTTAAATTGCAATATTTTACTGAAAATGTGAAGCCATTATTCAGGGACTCAGAAGAAATATTAGGTCAGTAATAATTTGTCTAGGATGATATCGTTTCCTATGAAGTGAAATTGATTATAGTAAACTCTATTGCTATTAGTGATCGAATACAATGGATGCGATGGTAATAAATTTATTTATAATTAAAGTCATTTCTAATATATCTGAAGACTACTGAGATGGTACTTTTATATGACAAAACTAAGATTGTAGCAAATTTAACTATCATTAAATGCAATTTTAATTAAGAAAATCGTGGTTTCTCTTTTCTCAATTAATTTCATCATCTTTTTAAGCTGCAAAAAAATCAGATCACACACCGATTCTTAGCGATATCACCAATCATACTATGGTATCGACTCAAGCGACACCAAATGCTCTCTTATCTGCTAGTAATTTAAAAGTAAATGCCACAGCACACGATAGCCCGGACTCCGGTATTTCATTTCGTGATTACGAGGAACCCAAATTTCGTGCAACTGTCACTTCACAACCGGATATGTTAATATCATCGGATTATCCATTTCAATTCGCTATTCATGCTGATAATCTTGCACGCTCACTGGCATGCGAATTCAAAGTCGAATAAAATTATGAGAAACAATAGCGGTCGAAACTATTATTTACTTGCTGAATGATCTTTCGGGTGAGCTTGTTTCATAATTCTCTTTGTTCGTAGGAACATGTTCATCTAGAAGTTGTATCTATGAAATATGGTTTCAACGTATAGGTTGATCCAGAATTATAAATTAAAAATTCGGATTTTTGATTTGGGTTTTCAGATAAACATCTTCTATAGGTTTTTTTAATTTTTGGTTGCAAGCTCGATTTTTTTGTAAACTTTATATGGCGTATACATATATTATGTATTTTCTGTTTTTGTAAACGGGTGTTACAAAACCGGTGATTTGATTGATTTACATCATGTTAAATGACATGAGTGTGTATTGGTGATGCTTTAGAAGCAGAGTTATGATTTTAAATCAACTGGAAGCACTTTACTTTGCCTGTTGCAATGTGCAAGTATTTCTTTTTTTATTAGTAATTGTGTTACTAATATTACTGTATCGACATCCGGACATCGAAGATTGGAAGCTTATAAAAAGAAAAACTAAATTAAATTCTTGTATTTTCGATACCTTTGTTTATAATGATTCGAGTTATATGATCCCATACAATGCTACCGTCTTTCGGATAATATTCCAGGATTTATTTGAATACATTTCGATAATATATATATCTGAATTATCTTATCATAGTAGTATGACTATAATGGACGAAATTATTCATGAATTTAATTTTATCACTAATGTTGGCCTATCATAATTTATAATCATTTTTTGACGATATCGTTTTATTTCACCTATTAAATTTTTATCATCTTCAAACTGTTATGTCCATCATATTGCTCTCTTATGGGTAGGTAAACTATAAGGATTGTAAATTATAGGATAAATGTGATCTAAATTCTCACAAATTAGTTAAAAAATTTCAAATTAAACTATCGGAATTTTTTTTTGACTTTCTAACAATTTTACAAAATAAGTTGTTTAAATAAATTGGTATATCTTATGGAGGGCATATATGGAGGATACGAATGTCATGATTTTTGAAATTTTGTGATATCATTTCAAATCCATATAAAACGATTTGATGCTAATAAGATGTACAGTAAATTTTACAGAAGTTTCACACAAATTGTAATAATTTGTCTATTTCTTTCTCTCATTTACCTTTCACCTTTCTTTCTTCTACAATATATTTCTTTATGTCGCACAGTTTTTCACCGCAAACCTTCCAAGTTGTGACAATTTTTTTCGATACCTTTGCTCCTGCAAAATTTCTCCTTTTTTTAATATAAAAATTGTGAATATATTTTCCCCTAAATGAAACGAATAGAAAATGGGTAAATGAAATGGAATTATTAGGAAGAAATATGAACTATCTGGGGAAGTTAAAATTAAAAAGAATTTTTTTTTCACTGATGATAATGAAAAGTTTATGAGAAGAATGAATTTTCTTTAAATTAAATAAAAATTATTAGAGATCTCACATTCCAATGATTCTTTAAAAGAATCGAAAGGAGACAGGAGAAGATACGAGATTCTGGAAGGTCATTTTTGACTTCATTTGACCGCAGGGAAGAAAAGGGTAAAGGATTGAGCAAGATTGAATGAGAAAGAAGCTCTTGAATCATTCTGATTTCAATTACTAACTGTCATCTATACTGGAGATATGATATCTTTATGGATAATAGTTATTTTAAATTGATACTGACTGATTAACAAGCGGCGGCAGGTGAATATTGTTTTACTTTCATTTCCTTTTATAAAGTATATCTCGGTGATCCTTATAAATTGAATTCTGTAATTGTTTCACTTAATCTCTCAACTATACTATTACTATCAATTTCATTTATCATATGACACTGCCTGTGTTTTATTGTAAGTTATCATTGTATTTCAATATTGTAAATTGTGTACGTTCATCTATTGAAACTTCTCTCTTTTTTTATCAACCTTTTTTCATGATAGTTTATAAATTTTGCTGCAACTATTATCACAACCACCGACTTACCTGTCTCTCTTACGATATTCATGTATGATACATTTTGCATTGGTTATGAAGGAAAATTTTCTATGAAATATGCATTTTTTACCTAATTTTTTAAAACAGAGAAACACGGATATCACATATAAACGTAGTTTTGTGAGATATAAATGTATTGAAATAATTTTAATTCATAAAAGTGTACACATTTAAATTTTCAAATATTATGAATTTTTCCTAATAGATTGAGAATTAGAATTAATTTATCATTTATGCTTTTCCATTTAGTTTCATTTTACATTTCCATCTTATATAGCATACATATTTCTACATTGAAAAATGATAGTATTTTCAATAGTGAAAATGGAATTATGATTAACCTTTAACCTAAACCTAAATTATTTTTTTCATTCCAAAGTGAAGGAGAAATTGTGAACAATTGATTTATTAATCAAAGAAAAATTATAAAATTTCCTGTTATAAATTTTCAAGCAAAAAATGATATTAGCAATTAATAATAGGAGAAAAATATGATATAATTGATGGAAATATGGATATAAACTACTCAATAGCAATATAAGTGATAAAAATGTTAACTTATCTAAGATCTCTCTTATGAAATTTGAGATGAAATTTTGGTGGAAGTTGGTAATACAGACAATTATCAATGTATTATGGATAAATATCAGTAGTTTAGCTATTATGATAAATATTATGATATTATATTATATTATGATATTATGATAAAGACAAAATAAAGATAAAGACAATTATGACAAAGATATTATGATAAAAAATATCAGTAGTTTAGCCAACCATTTTATTGCGAAAAATGATTAAAGCCAAATTTATATTTTCTTTTTCAAAATTTCCATCGTTACTTATTCTTTATTGACATAAAAATTACGATCAAATTATGGGATTAAAATTATAGCACGAAGAAATGAAAAAAATTGAGGTGATATTATAGAGTATGATAATAATGAATAATGATAACTATCCTATCAATCATTGAGAAAATCTGATAAGTTAACATTCACTTGAATTAAAAGCAATTTTTTAATTTGATCGTAATTTTTTTAATGTCATTAAAGAATAAATAACTATATGGGATAGCATTGATAAATCATGCGAAATTTCAACATTAAAGTTCAACAACAATAGATTATACTCACAATTGATATCATTTTGCGATCACTGGGTTATATATAGAATCTTCATTATCACCAGTTAAGTTAAATAATTGAAATACTGATTATTAAAAATTAATCGAAGTACTAATTAATTTTGATTAATTGCAAAAATTATATTGAATTTAGAGTAATGAAAAAAAGCATTACTTCATATTCATAAATTACATTTATTCCAATTTTGATTTAACACGTAATATTTTGGATAGTTCAACAAAATGATTATTTCATCATTCATTTCATTTTTCATTCTATTTGCATAATGTTTATGAAACAATTGCTCGGCAATATAAAAATATAATAATAATTTAGATGATTTTCCCATTTCCATCATTTCATCCCTAAATAAAACTATTGATCGGAACAATACTAATTCTGATTTATTGATTATCGAAATCAGATCATAAAATTGATTGGAAAATATAAAGTTAAAATGAAACTTAAAATTTTCTAGTTAGCTGCTTGAAATTTTTTTAGCTAATAAGAGATAAAACTTATGTTGTAAATAAATTTAAGATGCTATTGTTCTAATAGAATCAAGATAATTTCAATAGAATCAAGATAATTTCATAAACTGTGTATTTTCTTTGATTTTCATAGTAATTTTACAACGAAATATAATTTTTATAAAGTAATAGAATGTCACAAAAAAAACAAAATTGTATTAAACAAGAAATCATCTGACACAAATTATGCAAGAAATGTATATAAACTCTATATCTCCTAAATTACGTGAAATACGTGAAATAAATCTTTTTATGTTACTATAAGTAGCGGAATTAATTGTATTTCGAATGTGCAACAATATCTAAATTAGCTTAAAATTTAAATTGAAATATGCAAAATTATTTTATTCCTCATGCTATAAACCATTTAAATTAACAAAAAAAAACAATATAGTTCATTGTAATTTAGCGGTTGGCAATTAGTTATAAACGGTGAATAATATGGAAGCGATAAAAACGAGCGAATCTATTTCGGAGAATAAAACAATGGCTGAAACATCACCATCTATCACTAATCTAAGAATTCAGAAAGTATATCTTCTACCTCTCATTACAATATTTTCTTGATCTCTTCATTTCCTCTATATTTATCATTTAAAAAACGGAAAAAAAAACTTTTTGTATTAAAACAAAAGTCACTGTTCGTTTTGAAAATTTGATGAAAAATTGATATCGTTAGAATCGATATATTCCAATTGATATTATATTATTTTTAACATTTAGGAACGGGTACAGTTAGCACGCTCAAAGCCAACATATATTCATGATATAATCACCAAAAATGATAATCAAAAGCAATGGGATATAATGCTTTTGCCGGTAAATTAGAAATCCTACCAGATTGATTCTTTTTCAAATATGTTAAAATTATTGATTAATCGGTATGGGTGATATAACTAACTGTAAGTAAATACGGTTATTATTCTGATGGAAATTAAATATAATTAAATACGCTTTTCAATACTCTTTCTTAGTGTCACTCGTCAAAATAATTCGATTCAACTCCGACTCATTATCTCAATTATTGCTATTGGTTTTATCAATTCAATAAGGTAATTTTAAAATGTAAGTCAAATTTTCAATTGTTTCAGCCAAGACCACCATATAATGATGGTATGTTTCGATTGCGCTTAACTTTCCCCAGCGATTATCCATTCAAACCACCTCATTTACGCTTTGTCACACCGATCTATCATCCAAATATCGATGAAAAGGGGCAAATGTGCTTGGCCGTTTTGCAATACGATAATTGGAAACCGGGGACAAACATCGAAAGCAGTTCGTTTGCCATATTTAGCTGTAGTATAATTCAAGAATTCCCACTGAAATATTTAAATGAGAGACTTAGCTTGAATTAAAACTACAAAAACTACAGCTAAATATACCACATTATACCACATTTTCCATGGATAGGACGACCACATATATGGATATTACTTTGCAGTAAGTTTTCCCCAAATAAGTGAGAAACAATCGCAACCGTAAATTTTACAACCTCAGACTAAAATTCCTTGAATCAAATTATAAACAAAAAAACTTTCAAACAGAACACCAATCGTTAATTTGAAACCTACTCTCCTATATATTTTCATACTTTAAAACCCGGAAATTTTCACAAGTACCCAGGAATTTTCACCTTCCAGTAATGCAATCCTTGATATTCCTGCTCAACGATCCAGAACCTGAACGTCCACTTCGTCACCAAATTGCTGAACAGATCTATGAGGTAAAGTACTTCACAAAACGTATGCTCAACTTTGATTTCCCCAAAAAATGCATAATCTTCAGCATCTATATTATATCACTTATCGGAAACACTTTGTTGAGAGCCATCTAGTTTTCATCGAAACACAAACAAACGCATAGACAAATACTTTTGGTTCTAAAACATATATTAAGCCATACTTTTCAATTTTATTTTGACTCAAGAAGACGTAAATAACTTTCGGGGAAATGAAGATAGTGCCAAAATTGCAGGATAAACAAACCTTTATAAAAAAGGCCATCGAATATACCAAGAAACACGCCGAGAAAAAACCACGACAAACAGTTACTTAGAAAGAAAACAACTATCAATAAAAAACCTAGTCGTACTTGCTAATTAATCTGCGAATTTTTACATAAGAAAAAACTGCGCAGGATAGTCCTGCAAACCATCACTGGCATTTCTATTATAAATGGATGTTCTCACTCGTCTTATCTATTCGACCCTTAAACTTACACTGCTAGTTGAAGGGTTTAACTTACATTGTGAAACAAAATTTCGAAAACAAAGCTTCAGATTTGTCGAAAGCATACTAAAAAACACTCGCAAATAAAATATTTCTTTGGATCTAAAATTGAGGTATTCAGCGAAGAAAATGGGTTAGCTTTCCTCAATATCATCATACTTGAATGATCAACAATACGATGAATTCTCCATCCCATCTCAATTTACAATTTGATTTGTCCAATGAAATAACCTGGATTGACTGCAATTAAAATACCTTCAAAACTGCCTTTTTTTTCAAAAACTCCCAAACATACCACCATATACAAATATTGAGCATATATAAAAAAGCATTATTTTTATTTTATCAACAATTCGCTCAATTTATTTTATTTGCTACTTAACACTGCTCAACACTTAGCTACCAGTTAAGAATAAATATAAGAGATAAAGTACTGTTTTAAATAGAACAGAATTGAATAAGACTGCACTCTGATGTGAGAAATTTTTTTTAAAGCATGAGAATTTCATATATTTTTAACAGTAAAATTTATTTCAATAATCAAACATATAAATCAAAAACGATGAGGTCTGTAAACATGCAGGAATCTTATTTTCATCACTTGATTGCGGATTATGCATTGGCGGCATAATGATCATCATCTGAAGTAGCATAAATCAGACCTTCAGAAGCCAAATATTCAATATCTGCAGAAAATGTGAAGGAATTGAAGAAGTTTCTCGGAATGCCAGTGCGTATATCATCAACACTGGCTCCAATAACCGGATCGCCATTACTACGCAAATATTTAAATATCTGAAAGTTCAAGTAGAAAACTGAAATAATCAATATACTTTGTACAAAATAAGGCAATCCATTACTTCGAAATTGCAAGATAATCGAAAAAATATACTTCGGCTTTTTGACCAGTTAATCCACGACAACTGTTATCAGGAACTGAATAAGATGCACTCTGTGGCATTGCATTACTGGCTACTTTCGGATTAGATCCTACATTGCTCCTCCAATCGCTGGTCGATTTAGTTTGTCCTGCACCTTCTTCGCTTACACGTAACATTGTACCCTCGGATATATTTGCCCATTTTTCTGATAAGACTATGTCCGGCACATCCTAAACAAATTTAAAATCTTCTGCTAATATTGCAAGTAGTGCGAAAAGATCGCACCTGATGGATGAAATAATAAGCTTTGGAAAAAGAGTTGTCGCAATCGCAGAAGGTATGCGTCTAGAAACGTCTGGCAGAAAAAATTCACTAAAAACCGAAGCCGTGAACGGATTTCACTAATTGATAGACGCTGATAAATAACAGAGTTCTAGGGCAATGTAGTAAGCAAAGAGCACATATACAATATTCACTTTTTGTTTACCACTTATAATTGGAGAAGCCATACTTTTGTATAGAAAAGCCGGGCAAGTCGAGCTTCTAAGTGAAATGCATCAATCTCTCTCTTGTCCTCTATCTCTCGAACCTGCAATTCAATATATTTTGAAGCAAATGAAAGTAATTATGAATTAACTCATCAATCTGTCAGTGTTTGCTAAGAAACTCAACGGTTTTCAGCATTTTCAGCAGATGGAAAAGATATTACTTTTTTTTGGGAGAAATAAGAAAGGGAGAAATAGAAGATTAGTAGGAATCATTCCAAAAGCATTTCTATAACAATAAATATAGTCGATGAAACTTTCAAAAACTTACATCAAAAGCAACAATACAAAGTCGTTCACTAAAACTCCGCAATTTTCCCACAACAGAGACATCTGTTCCCTCTACTACTGCATCTGAATTTGTGGCAGCACTTGCAAGCTGAAACATATAAACACATTGTTATAAATATTAATATTATAAAAAAGCACTTACAAAAGCCAATTAAATGGATTTCATTTCATCCGTGACCGCTGCAATCCAGTTATAATAGTTAGTTCTGCATACATTAGAAAAACGCAAGCGTTAGTTTCCCGATGGAAATTTTTAAGCATCCATTTTAATCGATTCGACAGTAATCAAGGGAAATGTCTTCTCACATAGAATTTCAAAAACATTTACTACCGTGTTTTAGAGTTAATTTTAACTCCAACAGAAGAATAGCATAATGAGATCAGAATTTTGGATGGAAAGCCAAAAGAATAAAAACTACCACGCCTTTGTAATGAATAATGAGGAATGTAGCATTCGTATCATGATAATCGGCTAATGTATATTCAATAGATTGTCCTCCATCTGTTTGTAACGATTCTTTTATACGACCAACAACTCGAATCTAAAATTAGAACTTGTAGAAAGTATGATTCAGATCACCATCTCCGGTCAGTCGGAGCAGAAAATCTCATACCATCATTGCAAAAAGCTTTTACTGACAAATTTTAAGTAAATCGCAATTACTAAATTACACTTCAGCTAGATTTTAATGAATAATAGTTAGCACTAACTAGAAATGTAAACATATAAAAAGATAAGCGAGGAAATTGATTGAGATACAGGTTCGAACCTAAATAATGAGGCTCTAAATCCGGCTCGGAACACCTTTGTAAAAAACAATAAGCAATATAGAGTAATCCTTCAGTTTTCCCTTTTTTGCCAACTTCAACTTTATAATTTCTCGTCAGAGATCAAACAAAACGACGAAATCTCTTTAAACAAGAGATCAAATAAAAATCTCCTTCTAAAATGCCTGACAATAAAAGAGTATCAGTGATATTTTCTAATAGAATCACAATATTTGAAAGGCAATGACCACAATTCACCTCACTGGTTGTACTTTTACCAATTAATAATAGATCTTTCCACAGAGCAAATGCCGCAAAAGCTTACCGTGCTGAAAGCGTATTTACCAACTGTCATTTTCTCTTCATCGTTTGCTAACCGACTAAGATCTTTGACTGTAGCTGGAAACGGTACTTTCTCGGTGTGTAGACTCTCTTTGAATTCATCAGCTTCCACAAAAGATGCTTCACCCCAACCACCAGCAATCCCCGCATCGTAGCTTTCTTCTGCCCATCGACTTCCATCCATCGCTTTTTATGTTCTTTCAAAATTTGAATGTATTATTTATGTTTCTACTAAAAGTTATCATGAGAAATGTATTGGAACGCATAGACACCACATATGCAACACGACAAAAAGTGTACTGTAATATACGCACAGTAACAGAGGTACGCTACAATGGATACACACTACCGAGAAGGAGGATGTGTTATATTATACTTTAGATGTACAGGTAGTTCTAGAACGCAGTATAAGAAGTGACTGCAATTTACATGTCCATCGACTTATTACGATATGAGGGAGATACTACAACTAATAAGTTAAAAGATCACGGAAACCTGCTGTAATACAATACAGGAAACGACAAGCACTTAATTCCCTCCTGTTGATAAATTCAAAAATCACCGTATACCAACACATCATGTAGGACCACTTTTTCTTCTAATAGCTTGGAAAATAAGCACTTCTTGAAGTCTATTTGATTTGTAGGGGAAATGGACGTGTCAATTTCACTCATCGATTTCAATTTCTTTTTTTGTTTGAAAAATTTTCTTAAATTTTTTCGGCTGTCAATTTCAGAATTTTATTACATGAGCGAACATAAGAAGAAAGGAACAAACGAATGAATTGTTCACGTGTATGTCGTGTACGATGGCGAAATATGTTGTCACGATTACGTCCAGAACAAAAGTTATCAAATCAGAAGGAGGAATTAGAATTAAATGAAAGGATGACATTAAGTGATGAAGCTGAGGTTAGTCCAAAAAATGCCAAGATATTGTATAGACAGCAGCATTGAATGAGAATGGATGAATATTGGTCAAAATAAGATTAAATGATGATCGAGATGATATTTGTGATCAGCGATGATAGTTATCGCAATTTCAACTGGATTGCTTTTCCAAATTATCCAGTTGTTGATTGAACATCTCTCAATGTCATTTAGTATGTATGTGCAACAGTGAACCACCAGTTCAAGTGTTCCGTCATCTCAATCATGTATGTAGGAAAATAATTTCTAGAAATATGTTTTTCTAGAAAGTGCTTAGTGTTGTAGTTCAAGAAAAGAATCGGCTCAACGATTCGATCCAAGTAGCGCAACTCTTAGGTTTTGGTAGTGTAATAGGAAGAAATATTTAGGTATCGGAGTAGACAGGTTGTTGCATAAGTAATAAGCATAAATATTCAAATATCAGATTATCCCAGCATAAATTCCAACAATAAGTACGAAAGTCGAAATGCTCAGGAACTATTTCAAGTAAAGCATCAGGGCGTTAAAATATGAAAGTATGAATTGAGTAATAGTTTGGTTGTTAAATGCAGCTATAATCCAGCAATGGATTCAATTGTTTAAAGTCAGGGATATATAGTGACATTTTTGTCATATTTTTTAAAATATGTATTATGTGTTTAGAGTATGTTGAAAAAAATGTTGCCATCGCTGATGTCAGGCGATGAACCGACAAAACAGTGTCATTCAGAGGATGATGAATTTCTGAATGTTGAATCGAAGGAGAAAATTGATATGGATTCAATCCGAGCTAGAGGGTTTATTTATGCCATCTTTTATATTATTAATTTCAGATAAGAGTTGTAAATTACCGATTGATTATCACTTCATAAGGAATATCTTGTATTCATCATCTAGACTCTTTTTTTTTTTGCCAACCGTAAAATATGTTTTACCGATTAACCAAAAATTTCCTGAGAAGTCTTAATGACTGAGAGTTTTGTGTATTTGAATACAGAGAAGATATTTCGTAGCCTGAATTCTTAAGTGTGGACTTTGCTACAAACTTCAGAATAATTTTTTGGTAACTTCATTTATTGGTTATGGTAACATTTCATCGTAAGGGAGAAAATCTGATCTTTTGGATTATTTCACTCATCGATTTCAGATTTTTAAAATATCGATATAACTACAAACCGCCAGATGATCTTGAGAGTCAAGTGAAAGAAGTCGTGAATGAAGTTTTTGTTGATGTAAGTGACGATATACGGAGCATCGATCTTACAAAGAATCGGCGTTTAAAGTTTCAGGTTTGCTTTGCTCACTAGACTTGAGGCTTCTTTTTGATTAAATCATTGAGAAATATTAGTATTTTATCGGACAAAAATCAGGAAGTTGCTGGCGGTGCCAAAACGACCTCACAATATTTCTATCAACGTCGTATTATTTCAGCTTCTCGATTTGTTAGGTGAAAGACTGTGTCATGTAGTTCCCAATTCTGAATTACATCAAATGAAAAAAGTTGGTGATTTGATTGACTTCTACGGACGTCCGTTCCGAAATCTTACCGAATATGCACAGATGGCTCGCGACAACAAACAGACGTTACCAAAGAACTTACATATTATGGAGCATCCATTTCGTTTTCATCCGGAAGACACTCATTCTTATCATGGAGGTAAGAAATTTCATCTTTGTGTGAATATGTGCGTGTATGTGTATTTTCCTCCATATATAATTTGAACAGAAATATATAATTGATCTTTGCAGCATAACTCTTTGTGATCCGATATAGTTTTAAGAATTTGCTTAGCAAGCTTGCTCTATCCTAAAGTAATCGTAGGAATGAAAAGATAAAAATATAACATCACATAATAAATCCGTAAACATAACGTGTAGGTCTTAAATTCAAACTTGAAAGTTTTATGATATATAAACATTGTGTTAAATTTCATCAATTCATTCCCACTAGATTGTGTCGCTGAAATTGTTTTCAGTTTTGTTGAATCTATACGATTTTGGGAAAACATTTATGTTTCATAAAATCCCTTCCTCCTTCAGATGTACTTCGACAATATTGTTACCTTAGATTTTTATTAATTACAGGTGAAACAGCTTTTCCTGGAAAGGGAGGTGAAGTGATCAGTTTACGAAACAAGAGACTATATCGCCAGTTTAAACCAAAAAAAGATTGGTTCGATTTTGAAGAGGAATCATTTGATTATACCCGTCAAGATGAAGGAATGCCTTGGGATCCAGAAATTGCGGAACGTATGGACCGATACCCAACAAAAAGATATAATTTGAAAACAAAAAGGTTCAAGAATACGTGATTGTTGGATTGTTGTTAGTGATTTTATATAAATGAAATGGATGTTTGTATTTTGCAACAAAAATACTGGTAATGTTCACATTCTTTTTTGCTGAACATCTAACTCTTGAAAAAGGCTTAGATATTTTTATTAATTTTGGATATTTTGTCTGTGAATTGGTTTCAAAATCAATTTTCAGTAAAGTCATATCATTTTAAATATTTGTTTCAGTTAATTCTAGTATTAGTGAAACACAAAGTCACTTCCGCACAGTAAATGCATCTGCCTCATGAGTGTTGCCTTGAATAATACAAAAATAATTTTTTTAAACCAATATTTCTGTTAATAAATTGAGTTTTTGATATTGTAAATGAAAATTTTTTAATCCCTTGCATGTAAAACGAAGTAAATTTCTTCTGTAGTTTTATTCATAAACTTTTGTTGGTGAAAGAACTATTATAATATTATAATGAAATTTATATATTCCTGAAAAATTTCGATTTTCGTTTGAACTAATAAGGTATAAAATCTTTTTTCTAAATGTATCAGTCACCTGTATTAAATGAAACAATTAAAGTTAATATTATATATAAAGTTTATGTTCTTCAGTTTTGTTCTTAATTTTTTTGTTGGTGGAAGAACTATTTATAATATAATACGATTTATATTCCTATAAATTTTGGTATTTCGTTTGAGTTAGTAAGTTCAAAAACTGGTAAGATATAAAATCTTTTTTCTCGGTGAATGAATGTATCAGTCACGTGTACTAAATGAAACAATTAAAGCTAATATTACATATATGGTTTATGGATCAGAAAACATTATTGGATCGTATAATTTGATTATCTGTTAAGCTCTTCAAAGTGCTAAAAATACGGTCAGTGCTACTTGTCGAATCCTGTTGTTGTAAATCGGCGAAAGAACGATCCTTAATATTGTCTAATAAATCCATAGCACTATACATCAGACACAACACACAGTAGGGATTTCTTTGAAACTTAACTTTATATCAGCAACTCAGTGAGGTTTAATCAAAGGTAATGTGATGGATGTTTCACACAATTGATGAGAATTTCAACACTACGTTGAGTTTTCAAACCTTAAAATAACTGAAGTATCAATAGTGAGTTACTGACCAATGAAAAGTCTTGCTTAAAATTTCAGTCAACTTATTAACAAACTAAACTCATAATATCATACAGGCCTTCGTCATCTTACAGCTATAAAATAAAATAACAGCAAGAAGATAGTAAGAAAATAGGATTAAAATGCTAGCCGCATGAATTTTGCAATATCAAAAAAAGATGGGTGGACTTAGCTGCCTTCTAAATATTCAGCTGTCTTTGAAATTAAATTTGCACTATAACTGGGAATAATATTTAGTTACACTTTCAAACTGTTATAGCATCATAAATTCATAAAAATTTGCTCACAAACCACAATAGCATATTAAAAAAAAAATTAGCAATATTAAATTATAAAGGCTAATAATAATTATTATTTGATTAATAAAAATGCAACGGCAGGTAATTCATTTATGGATTACCTATAAAGTTTATAATATTTAATGTATGAAACTCAATCCTAACAAAGGTATTTTATTTAAAATGAAGTGTAATTATTATTAAAACAATTGCAATTACTCCCGAATATCAAGATACTTATTATAATTATACAAATGTAATTAGTCAAAAAATTCAATGTTAATATTAGTGGCTCATTTGTTTCAAAGTTAAAAAAAGTTTTGTTCTTTTTCTTTCTTGTTAGCCAATATATTTGTAATTGAAAGTTGACAAAGACGAAAAGCGTTAGTATTTATTAATCGATTTGAGGTTTAGTTTATCATTAATATTATCTTATGATAATTTTCTATGAAACCTATTTGAAAATAAACTCAAATAAACTATAATTAGCTGCTTGGAAAATAAAAAAAGAATTTATTTTGAAATAGAAAAAATTTATTTTAAATTAAATAGATTAGCTGTGTAAATTTTCAATATGAAAAATAAAATATTTTTGTCACACTTTCATGAAAGAAGCAAATTCTTTTCTTTTCATATTATCTCAACGTTGAAAAAATGAAGGATACATCTGTTGAAATGTACACTTTAAAATGGTATATAATAGATACGTATATCAATGGAACGTATACCAACAGATTCATTTTCAACCCTCTTCTTTATTATTATTATTATTATTATTATTATTATTTACATTTTTAGATAAAATTAATTCATTAGATTAAATTTCTTTTATACCTAAATTAACTAAATTATTCTTTTTATTGATAATTTATCACGTAATTTATATGATATATCTGTCAACTTGTTGAGTTCTTTTTTGAAATTCATTTTGCGCTTTTTGTCATTTGTAAATGAAATGAATAAGTGAAAAAAATGATAAGCAAAGTAACAAATTCTCGAACTTACCTTTATTATGACTATGTGAGATTTCCAATTTAAGTTCACATTTTATACATTAATTAATAACTCTCAGTGTGATTCATCGTGAAATCATTTCATACTTATGAAATTAATGCATCTTCAATCTTTTAGAAAGAAAAAAAAAGATGAAAAAGGTTCTAATAATCCTCAGCTTAATGATTCTTCTTGTCACACCGCTTTATGGATACGAAGATGAGGTAACTTTCTTTAATTCAATTTCCGGAATTTATTAGTTATTCAGATTATTGAATCAAAAAAAAGCATTAGGAGTTAATTATGATTTGGATGATCGAATGAAAGATATGAAAATGATTTCAGATGGATGAAGAAAATGATGGAAGTGATGAGGATATGAGTGATGAAGAGGAGGATATTGATGAAGAAGGACATGAAATAGATGAAAATGGAGGAGGTGGAGAGGAGGGATATATTACCAAAGCAGAATTTGTTGAAACTGATGGCAAGCAAGTCGTTTTGTTCCTTTGATAATTTAAATTCATAAAAAAAATTTATAAGAAATCTCAATTCTAACCCATAAACAAACTTCTCTATTTTCTTTTATTTAAATTATATCATTTAGAAGAGCATCTCTTCTGAGTGATTCTGATTTATGGATGAATTCTTTTCTATTTCATTACAGTCTTTTTCAGGAAGAAACATTGTGATTCACATGAAGCTTGCTATGATCAACGTGAACCACAATCTTGGTGTATAATGAAAGATGGTCAATCGTGGACGTAAGTTCTCTCTCAATTATTTTTATGAGAAAATTAGATTTAGCTTTGCATCAGAATTTTTCACAATGCTTCTATATTTATATAAGAACTTTATTGGAAATATTTTTTTAACTAAATTGAAAATTTTCTATTTTAGAGACAAAGGTTGTTTCTGCGAGGAAAAGATGCATTCGTGCATTATCGAGCGGAAAAATGGTCAAAAGTTGGAATATGCATATTGTGCGCCTCAGGCAAATTGGCAATGTTCATACGATTAAAAATCTATGACATTCATTTTCTAATATTTCAACCTAGCAGAAAACATTTAACAATGTTGGTTGTGTATTTCAATTTTTACTGAATAAAATTTGTTGCATCACATAGTATTTGTAAGCATACAAAAAGAACAATAAAGACGATAATATGAAGAAAATATATCAATAATTAACTTCTTATCAACCGATATCACTGATAATAAAAAAGGAAAACTTAGTCGCATAATGATTTTACCCCTAAATTGATAAGTTATTCTCCGCGATGAATCAGTAAAGAAAAATAGCCAAGTGATCGACTCTATTCTTGATAATTGTATTATAAGATCATAAAGAACAAAACTCTTCATCAGATAATGAACGTTAACAACTATTCTACCGTATCGCACAAAACTCTCCTTCAAAAAGGAAATTCCATTAATGGAAGTCACATGACAACTCTGCTTTTCATTATTTTCGTGCTCTACTGTTGATAATATAACGATGATGGCTGTATGGTGCCACAGATAAGATAATCATTACAATCGTAAATTTACTCATATCATATCACAATTGACTATTTATACTTTTATGGCTTTTCTCTCACAAATTGTTGTTATGTTGGATAAATATATCCGACTTCTAGTGCCTTTGCAATCAATTCATTAACCTTTATGAAAAACAATTTAGTGTACTTCCACTATTTAATTAGTTCTTTTGTTTATAAACAATGCTTCAATGTCAGTAGTTTCAAAACAATCTCGAAGAATAAATTACAGTGTGAAATTCTACGAAACATTAAATTTATTAAATGGAATACGCTGTCTTTGTTAAAAGCTTTATAATACAGTAAGGAATAATTTAAACTCTTTTAAATCAATCAATTTGCTTATATTTTCAACAAGTCAAACAGTATGGATTAACCATGTATCCCCAATTTCAAGAAATTTTCATTTTTTGCTATATTCCATTTCATATTCTTGTTGACACCGAATCGCTTTGTAGCACTAATTTTGACAAAGTACATTTTTGTGTGGTTGTCAACTTAAGGTATGATTCATCAACATCTTTTAGAATTTTAATTTATTATAAACAGTGCTTACTGAACACCGCCAACTCGTTTATAAACTTGGCAATGAGATAAGTATTAATTTGAAGAGGAAATTTAGCAAATTTTACCGTATCTGTTCAAAACTAATGTTAAAAGCTTTTTACTTATTGTTTTTATTACGTAAAAGTAACAAACGACTTAACAATACAAATTTTGACATTTACGACGTATAATGAAGAATATTGCAAAATACATGACAAACGAATAGAGCGTATATCAGCGTAATTTACTTCAATAAAGCAAAGCAATTCTAAGTCATTGCCTCAAGGAATAGTTCTAAATTATTGTTCTGGATGAACGATAAAGAAGAATGAGTAGGTGGTCATTCCTACTCTTGATAATTTCTAATAGTTATATTATAACTTCAGGAAAGAATAAATCTCTCTATCAAGTAAAAATATCATCAAACAATTAACTGCGCCAAATTAAAGCTATTCCTCAGAATAGCCATTAAAAAATCAAAATAACTTTCCATAAAATATAAATTCAAATTCGAAGAATTTTATCATTTGCTTACTAATCTTTTGCTAATAGTAGATATTAAATAATGATTAAATAATAAAGAAATAAATTGTCGTAATGATTACGTTCCAATTTCATCCGAATTCTCTATTCCAGCATCGAAACGACAATGTCGAATAGTATGTATGCATATGATGCGAAGATAATTAATGAGTCCCATTCACAAATTCTATTAATTCATCACAGATATTGTTATGCTAATGATATTCTTCCTTAAACGTCATTGATTCAAAAGTATACAATTTCTCAATCAAAAGATAAGCTGCACAGAAAGTATAAAGATCGAACAGTGTTAACATATGAAATCAGATAAAGATCACGAATCATTTCGAATTTTATCAAGATCAAGCATGAATCAGCTTCATCAATTAAGTTTTTCTTTAATTAATATTTAAAATTCAATGTCATTCAGGTGTGCACTGCACGAATTGCATGAGAATACAACAATTTAACTTAATTAATGCTTTCGAAATCTAAAAGAATTTTATGTTTCAGCTTATTATTAATTATCCGGTTGCTATCCATGTTCCAATATTTTGAGTAGTGACCTTAGCTTTTATTTGTCCAATTTTCAATTTCAACCAATTATATAAATGTTGTTTAATGATATCACGTGATTCCTTACTGTAAATAAAATGAACAGTAGGCAGTAAGGCGCAAATGAAAATGATGTAGCAGTTTAAAAAAATCCTCGATGGAATATTAATACCCTTGCCAAAATACTTAAACAATGTTGATGGCAAAAATTTAGCTAAAATAATTCCAATTTCCCATATACCACAATTCCACACAGCCTGAATTAAACATCGATCGCTCATAATGGCCAACATTCACATCATTCATTTCCAGAATTCTTAATTCCTGAATATGTTAATAAATTTGGCGATGAGATAAGTTAATTTGATGAGGAGATTTAGAAATTCAACAAGTTTTATCGTATCTACTCAAAACTAAAGTTAAAACAATCAATAAGCCTTTTACTACGTAAAAATAAAAAACTTGGCAAAACAAACTTTGACGTTTACGACGTATGCTGCAGAATATTGAAAAATACATAACAAACATTATATTCGGTATGGTTAGCCTCCAAATATTACGTATCCTAAAGTATAATAAATAAGTAATCGTTCTAAACTCAATTAAAACAATGCAATATATAGAAAGTAAAAGAGAATTAGAATATGCAACATAGAAACATTAAACTTTCTAAAATATATTTGACAAACAGATTCTTTTGATTTGAATAGCTTGCAAATAAAACATTTCGGTATATTGATTTGAAGCACAAATTTAATATTTATTGATAATTGAATAGAAAGGAACTCAACCAAAGTTGTATTCCAATTGACTTTGCACAATTTCTTATCCAACGTAAGCTCTACACATTGAATTTCCTGGTGCAGTAATAAAAATCTGCAGCTTGCAGTGCTGAAAATCTTGATATAAATATGATGCCGACAAGTTTGACAAAGACAATTGGAATTTTGAAATAAGCTAAATAATAGCAAAACAAAGCAAGAATTAAGAAATCTTGATGTGAATCCACACTAATAAAATCACTTTTATATAACTTGATATCAGTCAATGCAGTGCAACAATGGCATAACTGAACAGTGTTCTCTGAATGGCAAACTATCATTACTTAATTTCTATTTAGGACAGTGTTGAATAGGATGCATAGTCATTAGTTATAAAACGATAGCAAATATTGTTAGAAAGAAATTATTTTGATCATTGTTTGAGAAATATCATACCTAAAAGTATTAACCATATGAAAGCGACTAGAAAGTACAGCCTTGTTGATTCGAAGATAGCGTTGTATTTTGGTAAAATTAGTGCCACGAAGCGATTCACCGCCAGCAGTAATGAAAAATTTAGTATCGCAAAGAGTGAAAAACTATGGGCTATTGAGAATGCAGTGACGATCCATGCTTTTGTGCTCTCTAAAATCTCACCAAATTAATTTAAATTGCTGAATTATCAATAGCCCATATTATCAATAGCCCATAGTTTTTTTTTTAGAAATCAAACATCTAACTATGTTTTTTGTTAATAATAATTTTATCTTTGAAACAACATTTTTAGGAGAATTGCTGTAAAGAATATTTAACCGGATAAACAAATAGTTCCATTTATCTGATCTCAAAATGTGAATAAAACAACATACCATTTGACATGCCTTCAGTTTGCAATATTTTAGGCAATACAAGAAACATTTGTGGTAGAAAAGCCATGAAACTGCAAATAATCAGTTGTACTGAGATAAGAATATATCCATGACCGTAATAACGCTCTTTTCCACGACAGAATAATGAGATCGCCATTACTGTATTACTAGTAATACCATAAAGTAGGAAAATGATAAATAGTGCAACTGCTATGTATTTCATAACCTTGTGATTCTCATCTCTTATATCGGCCTTATATGTCGTGCTTCTTTCTTGACAGATTATGGGCAATATCAGAAATAATACAGTAATATAGCAATAACTAATAAACATTTTAATTGATTATCCTTAAGGGGAGTAAGAAAGGAACTTCAGTTGGCTGAAATACAAACAGCCAAGAATTGCGAAATTCGGAATTAGTATGCATTAATATGAAGCAATTATAATTTGATAGAGAAATAATATCTGCATTTCTCTACAAATTGTCTTAGAAAACGCCTATAATTTCTGCTTTTACACGTAGAAACAGCGCTGTTTACTAATTTCAATTTATTAATTACAAATTATCTTCAATCCTTAGCTAACTCAATTTGCATGGCAATTTATTTTCCTTATTACGTAAGTCTTTTAGAAATAATGAACAATCACGGTGGTTGAATGCAAAATAAATTGAAAACAATTAACCAATTACGATGAAAGAAAATAGATTTTTCTGCCTTTCAGCTGTCGTATATCTTTGTTGCATCACTTCAGTACCCGAACATTCTGAGAAGCTTTTCAATTTAAATTATAAAATTATTTGCAAAAAATATTTTAAATGTAATGCACGTGAGGTCTGGAATATCTCTTTTGATTTTGACACGATGTCTGTCAAATTATAACTGCTTCGTAATTGAACTCCGAATTCTAATTCACAATTCTGAGCAGTTTGTATTTCAATCAGTTAAAATCCTTTTCTTTCATCTGTGGAAGATAATCAATTAAAATGTTAATGAATTAAGAGAAAGTAATTAATAATCAATTAAAAAATAAATCCTTGAAGGAAAAAGCACATATGGCTGATGTAAGGGATGAGGGCCACATGATCATAAAGTATATAGCATTAACCGCTTCCGTGCTGCACGATATTGTTTAGTGTTGGTTTAATTGTCCTTGCGTGGTTGTTACTTTTAGGTATGAATTATTAATATCTTCCAAGCAAAAGTCAAAACAACTTCTTTCATGCA